CATCCCACCCTTCTCAACCATAATCGTAGTTTGTCTCATTTCATTTGGCGAACCAGCTTAACGACGGAGTGTGGAGTGGTCGACGAACCCGATGCGTATCAAAAAGTTGCTGACATACCTATCTATTTTGTCATGCTCAAACCGTATTTTATAAATATTTACCATCATGGTTACATAATATTGCACTGGTTACCAGTGGCGCGGACGTGCCGAACTGACAAGCAGACCTGTGGCAAACAATTTGATCCTCCTCCCCACCACCAACAGTTTTTTCACTATTTTTTTTATTATTCAAAATAATAAATATTATTAAGTTTTTTTAGGTATAAGTTGCACATCTATACTAACACACCCACCCACCTACCCTAATTTTAACTGAAGACATTTCCTCAAAAGTTACTATTCTGCACGCCTCTGCTGGTTACTGATCCCTTGTATACGGTCTTATCACGTATAAACGATAATAAATGCCGGTAAACAGTTTCTGAAAACCTATTGTGGTTATTGGTTAATCGTTAATGTTAGTTTCCCATCATCAAATATGGAATAAATAGATGATAATAATATGTAGTATAATTTATTTAAGTTTATTATTTGTTAATTATACATAATACATAAGTATTTATTTAATATAATTTATATTTTTATATCAGATTGATGAGTTATAACTAGAAATTACAAAATAATAGGCATGTGTAGTTCATGAACTACTCGGCTCAATGAGTCGACTCTTTCAAAGGTTTAATAGAAGTTGAATCAGTGATTCAAGATTCGGCAACTCAGTGACTCAATTTGACCAACCAAATTTAGGTAGTTCAAAACAGAGTTTGAGTTATAAATTTACCAGGATTCGTGAAACGAGTCACGAGTCACAAGTCACGGGTCAATGGTTTTACTATTCATTTCATACGACTCTTAACTAACGTGATAACAGCCAATTAATTCAAAAATCATATTCAGTTAATTATCTCTTAGTAATCAGAAATCACATTTTTTATTTTTATTTTTTAGTCTATGATAATAAATAAAGCATTTTTTTTTAAATTCAATTATTTAATTTCTGACAAGTGATAACTGTTAACTAGGTAATTCTGTAATAACTAATACTAATAAGTATTAACTAATAGCAATTAGCAAAATTACCTATGAACTATGAAGTATGAATCAAATATCAATAACAAAATCATAATCCAATGAGGGATGATAGATTATTTAATATTAAAATTTAATGTGAGTTATTTATTTTAATAATAATTTAATCTTGATAAAATGTAAAAATAAGTAATAATAAACTGGTACATACGTATTTTATTAAGAACAAAATAAGAAATAAGTAAATTACGTTTTTAAATATTATGGAATAGGAATAAACTACTTATTTAATCAATATTTTACAATATTACAGTTGCAAGCTTGACATTTTTATAAAATTTTCAATAGGTAGGTTGACTCACAAAATACATTTTATTCTAAATTAAAATTAAGAAAAATCATTTGTTCAAACTTTGAACATGTTAGCCTACTTCTTTTTTTTGTGATTGTCTGTCAAGCTTTGGAAAAAATCCGCTCACATGGTACAGATGTACCCATGATACAAAACCTTCTTTTCACAAATTTTAAAAGTTTATTGTACACATACTGATTTAGCTTCCACCAAAGCACGGGACCTTCTCTCCGTGACAGAAGTGGTTCATGCAGATATTTATCGATTTCAACGATAAATGCTGCTGTAGGATTGGAAGATTGAACTATTGAACCCACTTCACTGTCAAAATCATTCCATATGGAATCATCGTCAGTCTGATTTGGCAATACAGTGACTTCTTCAGTATTATTCACAATATTAACTGTTGCAGCTTTGCTAATTAAGGACTTTTTACCTTCACTAAATGCATACTGATGCTAGAATCCATAATTTTAAACCTTGGGTCCAATATTGTAGATTCGGCATACAATGGATTTAGTTCCAATGACCTAAATCGTGCATCTACTTCACTAACTAGAACACCAATCATTTTTGAAATTTGCATGCATGTATTATGTTCAGATTTTATTTTGTTACAGTATTTAATGAGGGATTTACTTAGTACTACTATCTTTGAAATTGTCACGGATTTTTCAGAACTGATTTCAGTAGTGATTTCTTTAAATGGTTTTAATAATTCACAGGCTCTAGTAATAATAATCCAATCATTATTTGTTAGATACTCATTATAATTGGTTTCTGCTAATGCTGTGGAAAGAAGAATCTTCAAGTCAAGTACTCGTTGAAACATTTCAAAAGTAGAGTTCCATCTTGTCACAACATCTTGGATAAGAACAAGTGGAGGTGAATAGCCCAGTTGTTCTTGGATCGATTTTAATTTGCCTGCAGCAGTAGAACTTTTTTTGAAATGTCTAACTATACCTGAAACCTTCTATTTGGCCTCTTGAATTTCTTTTATAGCATTTTGTACAGCCAAATTCAAGCTATCAGCAAAACAGCATACATGCCTCCATTTGCATAAATCAATTGCCTTTGTTATATTTGGTGCATTGTCTGATGTGCAAGCTGAAACTCTATGTTCCAAACCCCATTCGTTTATAACTCTTAAAAGTTCATTTTTCAAATTATCACTGGTATGTTATTCTGAGTACATAAAACAAGAGAGTAAGTATGACTTAAGCTTACAATCATTGTCTATGAAGTGTGTTGTAACAGCAATGTAACTTTCATTCTTTACAGATGTCCAACCATCAGTCGTGATACTAACAAAATTACCATTCTCTACTATATCGGACTTGACTTTATCATATGTATCATTGTAAAGAACAGAAAGCAACGAAGTTGACAGAGTTTTTCTGGATGATTCTGAATCATATCCGGGGGTTAACATTTTTAAAAGTTTTTTAACCAAACTCTTTGTCCTCGACAATACTGAATGAATAATATTCCTTTACTGTCATTCTTAAAACTTGCTGATCAATCAAAGTTCGTCGGGAAGCTCCAACTAGTCTAGGTAAATACCTTGTAATTATGTCTTGTACGTTATGAACTGTTGGTCTATGAACATTTAATGTCGCCATGTGAGTTTAAGAGTCAAAAATCGACTAAAATAAAATGTATAGTTAAATATAAATATTGCAATTTAATTATAATGAAATTATTTTTTTCCGTATGAAAAAATAAGACAAGTCTGTACATTAATTCATAATTTATTATTCATGAGAAGGACCAATGAAATATTATTAATTGTTATATTAAGTTAAATAAAATTACAATAAATATTTGCAGTTTTAATATAATAAGTACTGTTACACTGTCATTGAAATCTTAACTTTCCTAATTAAATAAAAAAAGCTTTTTTTTTTTTTTTTAATCAAGCAGTAGGTACATGTATTTAGTTTATAATCTACCAATTATTGTATTGCATTTTAACCGTCAATACTTTATTAATTAATATTTCATCTGTAGGAAATGTACATAAAATACTCACTGAAGTAGATTGCAAGTTGATTTTCAATTGTTATAGGGTCATCAACATTATTTTCTTCAACATGCATATTAGAAGAAGGACGGCGTTTGTTTAAATCAATTGTTGGGTGTTTTAAACGCATGTGTCTCATCATGTTAGAAGTGGATGTTTGGTTGTGTTTCATTTCAAGACGACACAAACCACATTTTACATTTTTTTTTTATCATCCAGTTTAAAATAGTTCCAAACAACACTAGTCTTACTAATTTTACAATTTCACATTTTTTTTCTATGCAGACTTCTAAAGAAGCTTAGAAAATACTTTATACAGTTTTAATTGAATTGAATGATTCAATTAAATATGTTTAATACATAATGATTATCAAATCATTTTGTGTTATGCAAATGTCTACTATAAGAACTATCATATAGGATGATAGTTATTTTTAGATTAATTTGTCCAGAACTCCTCAATAAGTAATAATTTTAATAATAAAACAAACAACTGTTATTTTCATCATATTTTTTATTTCAATACATGTAGTAGGTACATACATTATATTCAACTCATAAAATATTATTACATTAGGTACTAAGAGGTAGCATAATATTGTGTGCACATCATTTTGTAAATCTATAGTTCAATTTTAAATTATTTTAATCAACATGTATGTTGAATAATCACAATACTTTAAAACTACAATTTTCATAATTATTTGAAATATACGTTAATATGAGTCACGAGCGTCTGTGGTTTAAGTACTTATAGTATATGTCAATTTCAGTGTTAAAAATTAAAATGAAAATAAAAATAATAAAATAATTTCGACATTAAATATAACACAAATAGATGCCGCAATGTGTATTCCTATGGTCCCAAGCGTGACACTAATTTCTCAATGATAACGACTCGCGCCCAGTCCTGTAAGTGCATTATAGTATTGTACGTCCGTAATCCGTGGTCAGTTCACAAGTAAATCATGAATCAAAATAACAAAGGTGGTATTCATGAATTAAGAACTATGAAAAAAGAGTTGAGAGTTGATTTGATGATTTAGTTCATTTAAATGAACTGATTCACAGGAGCTGATTCATCGAAATGAGTTGAAATTCCCACCTCTACAAAATAAATATTTTTTTAAAACAATAATATGGTGTATCTTAATTTACTAACTCTATTCCAAATGAGATCAGCCTTGCGCGGCGACCAGTTTTCGTCCGGAGGAGGTTCTGGCTCCCCCACCTATACTCTGTTCAGCGAGAGAGCATGCCGCGGCCCGACGTAAATCGGTTCGTTCTGCGCATCCTCTCGCGTCACCCACCCATAGCATTCCCACTCTTCGACGAACACAGTAATCGAGTGTCGTCGTGCGTCGGTCGGGCTTCGGAGGTGGCGCCTCTAGCGAAAACAGCTGTGTGAGTGTGTACAAAACGCCGCCACCGACCCTGATAGCTCGTAGCTCGGTGACTCGTTTCTCAACCGTTGACCGTATCACGTGTTTATAGAAACGATTTTTAACAGCGCTTTATTTTGAATTTTTTGCAATGAGTGACACTGATGCGCCATCCACATCTAATGCTGGTTCTCCTCATACACCAGTTAAAAAGAATCCATGCGGGAAAGTAAGTGTTTATCGTTATTGATTGTACACATGGTTTGTATTGATAAAACAAAACGTGTCTTAAACTACAGACTTGGGTAAAATACTTTTTAAAAGTATTTCAAATACATTTTCCGAATACTTAAAATAAAGTATTCAGAGTATGTATTCGAATACTTTATGATAATAATATTCCTAAGTATTTGGAATACTTGACAAAAAGTATTCCAAATATTTTTTTTAGTAGATTTAGATTTCAATATCAAAAATATTATTTTTTTTTAATTCTTTGTTTATAAATGAACATTATTATAATCTTGATAATACACGCCTATCTGGCTATCTATTAGTTATAAATGATATTCAAATTAATATAGTTAATAACTAATAAGTAATAATCAGTAATATATTAAGATTATACCTATATAAAAATAATAAGTATTCCGAATACTGTACTCCGAATACACGTAAAGAGTATTCAAAATACCGTATTGAATACTTTCAAAAAAAGTATTTAAAAAGTATTCCGAATACTGTTGTAATAAGCCTGGATGCTTGGTACCTACTATCGTAGTACTGACAGTAGATAAGTGGCAACCAAGTTATTATAATTGCAGGTCGCAGACACTTTATTTGATGTTGTAGTCGTGGTAGATAATGAATGAATAGACAGATGTAATATATTGTGAATTTTTATTATAATGTTCGATAATTTTCTAAGTCCAAATAATATTCTACAGAGTGGCGTGAAGGTGCTTGCACTAATGGGTAGTAGTACACGTCTGAATACAGGCCGATTCGGGCTCCCTTATATATGAGGTTCCCCGTACCCCTTGCCTACATATGCGATATCTCCGTTCTCACGGATGTCACTCGTATAGTCATCATTCTAGAACACGCATTGACGATTGAATATTTATCTGATTGAATGTATTACTAACTTGTGTTTAGTCATTTTACTCTTTAATATTTTAAATTCATCGTATGCGTCCAGTATTTCTGTCAAAAATGACGAATGACTATTTCAGCCCTCTCGTCATGAGTTATTCAGTGAGCCTGTCTCCATAGGTTTGAAGGACCCATTTCCTTCTTAATACCCGACTATGCCGGTCTACCGTTTATTATAATATTTATGCACCTGTGGAATCTGATTTTATTGTTAAAGTCAAATGTTACTACGCCTAATTCTGAATCCCAATTCATCGTATATTATAATAATAACTATGTACTTATGAAATTGGTATTACTCCGCAGTAGCTGGCTTACTACACTGTATTCGGAATACTACCCAAGTCTGCAGTTAAACATAACAACCTTGATTGTCTAATATACAAAATTAAAAATCAAACTGAATTATTTGTTTATTATTTTAATTTTAGTTCATTGGAAGTGGACAAAAACAAATGATAGTGAACTTATACAAACGCAAAATTGCCGAGCAACCATCTATTACGGTTAATGAAGTGGTGAAATTGCTATCCAGGGATACGGGTATTGGCCAGAATACGATACAAAGGACAATTGCCGGCTACAAGAATGCAAAACCATTACAATCGCCGAACAAAAAGAAGATCAGGCTGACATTCAAAGAAAAAGTCGACGATTTCGAACGGAATGCTATTGTTCTATATTACCTTTTTTTTCTACCCAAATCCGTATTGTATTCGAATGCGACGTTGCCATGTAACGAATGCGATTCCGCACGTTTATTCTTGTAACATGAGATTGATACATATTATCATATTATCATATTGATCATATTATTTAGGGACCTGAACTTTTCCATATTTACTACGACATTTCAAGTTCAAACTAATTGAAAATAAGATAAGTCGGGTCTTTTGATAAAGTCGATAAAGATAACAATATACATTAAATTACATGTGTTCTATACTTCTATATGTCAACCAGCGTTCAGCATAATTTACCGAGCATCCGAGTCTATATGATTTGATTAATATTTGTTATGCGACCTAACATTATAACGATAATCTCGTAATGACGAGATTATTTTGATAAATTACCCATAATATAGTTGTTGGTTGGTGTTGTCAGTATGGCGATGGTAAAGTATACTATAGTCTAGTCAGAACTGTCTGGTTAAAACGCAGCGCTTGTGTACGAATTTTTTACAGTGTTATAATTTATATTGATAGGCATGGATAATCAATTAGAGATAATAAAATCTGAAAAGGGCAACGATTTAGCGTTGGTAAATACATGTAAATATCGGCTCACTAGGTATAGATATTTACTAGAGATAACTATTTTTATTATATATTTTTTACAATAATTATTAAATTTTTTTTTATAATATTATTTATAATATTATTATACATTTTTTATAATAAACCGTTTGTAATAAATTTGACAACGTTGCAATCAATTCCTATTGTATTCCTATGAACAATAAAGTGTGCGGAATCGTGTTAAAAAAAAAAAAAAAACGTGCGGAATCGTATTCCTCCCAAAGAAACAACCTATACCATTTATTACGTGAGCTAAATTTTACGTATTGTAAAAGAGGCCGTAATAGCGCACTTATTGAACGGGACGACATTGTACTGTGGCGAACCAAATATATACAAGATATCCGAAAATATCGCCAAGAAGGAAGATCAATTTATTATTTAGATGAAACGTGGGCAAACATTGGTGATTGTATGGAAAAAATTGGGTTGACAAAACCGTTGAATCACGCAGAGACGCGTTTCTGTCTGGCCTTTCGACAGGTGCTCCCAACCCAACAGGCAAAGGAAAACGACTCATTATAGTCCATATTGGATCAGAACAAGGATTCGTCAATGGTGGTCTGCTGGTGTTCGAATCGAAAAAAGGATCAGCTGACTACCATGACGAAATGAACGGAGATTCATTTTTTGATTGGATAAAAGGTGTCATTCCATTGTTAAAAGACAACAGTGTCATAGTAATGGATAATGCACCTTATCATTCGGTGAAAGCCGAACGATGTCCAACAATGAGTTGGAAAAAAACAGATATAGAAAGTTGGCTGGAACAAAAGGGCGAGGTTTATGAAAAGCCACTTAACAAAGTTGGTCTAATGAACATTGTCAATCGGATTAAACCGCAGTTTAACAAATACGTCATAGACGAGTATGTTAAATCCAAAAATATGGTCGTATTACGTTTATCGCCGTATCATTGTGAACTGAATCCAATTGAGCTGGCATGGTCGTCTGTCAAAAGGTACATCAAAATGAATAATTCAACATTTAAGCTACCCGATGTCAAAAAGCTCGTTATTGAAGGTGTCAATGAATGCGGCCCCGAAAAATGGAAGAACTTCGTCAATCACGTAATTAACGAAGAAAAAAGATTCTGGGACATCGACTTTGTCGTGGAGGAAGTTATGGAAAATTTAGGTGATTGTGTGATGACAATAACCGGTGACACATCTTATTCAGATTCAGATTATTAAATATTAATATTTTTTTTTTTTTGTTTATTTTATTATATATTTGACTGATTTTTTAACTAATTAATAAAATTGTTACTTTTACCATATATTTTGGATGTTATTTTTGTATTTTAATCATTAAAATACTATAATAATAATAAGAGTATATTAAAATAAATAAAGACGAAAATATTGACGAAATGCTGGCAGGCGGCAACAATCAACAGGTTGCGCGAGTCAGATGACCGGTGGCGTCGCTAGCATCGACGTCGCGGTCGGTCGCATATTATCGTTGCCACCGTCACGACAACCAGGCATCTTGGAAGGGGAAATAGGTTCTCAGCGAGCAGCCGTCCACCAGTCTACATGCGCAGAACCGGCATGCTCTCTCGCTGAACAGAGTATAGTAGTTGTTCGACTGCAGCTCTACCAGCGGCGGCGGCCGATTTTCGACGACGACGGTATGTGTGTGTAACGTGTTTACGTGTCTGCTTTATAACGCCTCGACGCCTTCGTGCTTGCCGCTGAATTACGCGCCGTCCGTTTAAACCGATTTGTTTATTTGTTTTGTGTTTACGAAATAATTTCGGGTGATATTTCTGAAATGGAAGGTTGTATGCCTCTGCAGCCTGAAGAAGATGTCACTACTTCTTCTCCAAAAACAAAAAATAAATGTGGAAAAGTGAGTAATAATGATTAATATAATATTCAAATATTTAATTATTTAATATTTGATATTTCAAATTGTATTACGTATATATTATTATTTATATGTTTTTTACAGTTTGTGTCCAGTCGTCAAAAAATAATGGTAGTCAATATTTATAAAGATATCATTTCTATTACACCAGACAAAAAATATATGGACATTATCAACCGTATTAGAGAGTTAATTGGTTTGGGACGTGACACAATAAGGAATACCATCAGCGAATATAAAACGACGAAAATAGTATCATCTCCTAACAGAAAAAGATTGAAGGCTTCACTGTTTGAAAAAATTCATGATCTGGATCGCACAGGATTACGTCGTCGGACAATTCATTCTATTTGGTTAAAACGTGAACCACCAACCTTACCTAGTTATTTGGACCCCTGAACAGTGAACAAGTACTTATAGCTGTAGTTGAAAAAGACACCAAATGGGCAATCAATTTGGAAATTCTAGAGCAGTTTTTTATTCAAAAGTATATACCCTACCTTACTGAAGGATAACCGTTGTTTTATTATTTTATAAGCTTTTATTAAGAATGCAGGTAGCAATTTTCTATAGAATTCTAGATTTTAAAACTAATTTAATAATTTTATGAACTATAAAAATTAAAAATGTAATAATGTACATTTTACAATATACTATAATATGATTATTATTTACAGTTTATATATTACCTTGAACTTCTTTAATTAAAGGAGGCTGTAGATTAGTTAATGCAGCAACTAATTGAAAAATACTTTCAGCTTGCTTCAACATAGTGAAAGGAATAAAATTTATTATGGAATAGCATTTTATTCTTTGTATTGCTCTTTCAATGTGGATCCGTGCCTTAGCTATAACTTCTGTTTGAACAACTTGATTTGGTGTAAACTGAGGAGTATCTAAAAATGGTGGAATATTTAAAGATACTCCGTGACGTAAAATGTCACTGATTAATAAAACCCTTATCTGCAACAATAAGATCTCCAAGGAACATTTTCTCTAAAATACCACTATTTAATGTTACCATCTTGTCTGATGTAGATCCAGGAAACAATGAACTGACAAATGTAACAACACCATTCGGGGAAATTCCTATTAGTGCTTTCCAGGTATTTCTGTGCTTATATGGACTATATGTGTCTCTCTGTATATTCATCGACTGACGTGATACAGCAGTAAATACTTCAGTGCAATCTAAGTAGAAGGAGGGTACGTTCACCCCCCCCCCCCTCAAATTTATTTTCAACATAATATCTGTTAAATATTACAAAATTTAAAACTTAGAATTATTACAAAAAATTAGGCATTACAAAAAATGTAAACTTATACTTTAAACATTACATAAAATACAAACAAAAGACAGTCAAGCAGCTTCAGCCATATATTTGCTTATTGTTATAGGAAAAAGTAATATACACAATAATTATTCCAATAGTTGTTGATTTACGAATTAGTTCTTATGACGTCATTTAGAATATTCTCGATCAAAAATAATGAGCATACCTGTGTTGTTAAAATAAAATACAGCCAATGAGAGCAGAGCATACTTATGAGTATGAGCATACTTATCATTTTTTACTATTCTAGAAACTTCCAGAGATATTTTAGGTAATAAATACAACCCACACAGTGGAATTTTTTGTCATTCAGCGTATGCCTATAACAGTTAACACACGTCCAAAATGTTCTACAACAATAATGAATTGATGTAAAAAATTCATGGACATTGAAAACTAGCAAATAAATAGCAAAGAAGCCAGTCAGCCATTAATTGTACATGATAATAATAATAATTTTCCCCCAGTGAATAAAATATGTAAAAGTATAAAAATATATAAGAATACAAGAAAAGTAATGGAAGTCTTTTTGAAACAGTTAAGTTGAGATGTTGAAATATTGAGTGTTGAGATGTTGTAATTGAGTTTTGAGACGTTGATAATTTTGGTATGAAGTTGTGTATTTGATTTTGAGATGATAGAATCTTGTGGATAACCACCTATTTCTGTCTAGTTTTCTGTACTAAGCATCAATTCACTTTTATTGTACAGAAAAGTTCGAGCGGTAATAGGTGTTTAATTTTGAGTTTTGGCATGTTAAGTTTTGAGATGATGATATATTAAGTTTTTAGATGATGGATATGGCTGGATCATTGTGAAAGACATCTGTCACTGTCTAGTTTTTCTATTTAAGCATCAATTCACTTTTATAATAGAAAAATTTGAGTAGTGATAGGTGCTTCATCTTGACCTTTGAGACGTTGAATTTTGTTGGATTTTCCATGAGAAAAGCAATATCTGTTACTCAAACTCAGAAAGAACATGATTAGTAATTTATTTAAATATATTTAATTTTATCGGAAAATGTTTTAGCGTTTCTTATCTAAACTTATCTAAAACTATCTTAAATTAATTAAAAATTATCTAAAATTATCTAAGTTTAAATATATAAATATGTAAATATAAATATTTACAAACGCGTCCCTTTATGAGATGTTTGAATCTATGTTTTGAGAAGTAAATATGTAATAAAATCATTACATATTATTTTAGTGCCATCTTGATCTGCGAGAGATACTTCAATACGATTAAAATCTGTTATAT